GAATCTGCTAGCATATTTGGTGACTCATTTATGAGATGTCCTTGTTCTATGTTTTCCATTCAAGCCCAGATCTGGCAACCAAATTATGCTCATGCTTTGTTCAGTTCACATAGAATACGAATGGTTAATGATGGATTGGGGCTTACTTTGCAGTGCAATATTACAGTTTGAGTAGACAGTGTCATAGTAATCAAGAATTTTGAAGAAGTAATATTCTTGCAAACTTTCTCTGGGGAAAAGAGGCGGAACAAACACAAACAAACCCGCCGAAAATAGGGCACTTGATTGGACCACTTCAGCTCAAGATCTAATCTTAAGTCAAGACAGGTTGGAGTTGAGGTTGAATGTATGATTTTATCTTTAATTGTGAGAGATTATTGATGCGATGTATTGGTGCGACCAGGAGTTGTTTTCTTGTTCCAAAGAACATGTATTGGTATTTGGAGGGATTGATATTGTTTTAACGATAACAATTCTGAAGCTATACCTCCGACATGTCTTGACCGATCATGTTCAAACATTACATATACATCATCAGTATGTCGCACATGTGCATATTTATTTGGGTATCAAAATGGCAAAATTTTAATGTTTAAACAAGTATCAAAATCAAGCATTTCAGCAATTCCGGTTTGGATCTCCGTCCTTCATTGACTAATCTTGTTCAGTCTTGGTATACAAATTGAATTGTATAGGTACTTAATGCACACCACTTTGTCAAAAATTAAAAATGGCCGACTGGTTGCAATTATGTTTTATTTAATGCAGTGTTAGAGCCATATTCTCTGACTTTTCATGTTCAAAATTTATATATTTTTTAAACTTGAGGACACACGGGGACATGTGTTGTGTTTTGTTGCAACTACACGAAGTTAGCTATGAATTCCAATAAATCCAACATAAACTTCAACATAAACTGTTGACCCAAATATCGATCGAATGTGTGTAACTATCTGTCTTCTAACGCATTTTACTCATAACCTGTCAATGTCCCTACGCCTCGCGTATTCCAGTGTTTTCAGGTATTCTCACTAACACAAACTTTCACAGCTTTTTTTTATATAGTTCACTTAAAAGATCAGTATATCATCATGCTCATGGGCTTTCTTACTTCTGGACCTCTACTCATTTTTTATTACACCCAGTTTGTTAGTCAGTGGCATTGACCCAGAACCTTAGGGATATCAATTAACTTAATACGTTGTATCTGCCTTAGTTCCCAGAGTTCAAGGAATTGTGACGATCACATCACACCAGGGCTATGCATTTTCCAATTGACGTATATATTTTAGGCATTCACGCATCTTCCGGTGAATATTAATACCACCACTTGTATCTGGTTTATACCAGTGCGTTCATTATTATGAGTTTTATATTTTTTCATCAGGTAGTTTATGAAGAAACAAATAAAACTGCCAGTACACTGAAATCCGGATTTAACGCTATGATGGTTAATCCCTGTGGCATCGACAAAGGGGAAAATAGAGGCAAGGTGAGTTAAGAAATATAAATATTCACTAAATAGAGACTTCATCACAAACAGTTGCTCAAGATAGTAAGTATTAAATATTATTAAAATAAAATTAAATAAATTCATTCATTTTAAGAAATGCAGGTCCTTTTATCTGGGAAATTACCAGTTAGTATTCGTGGTCTCGTCCACTCTGGTCTATATTGCATTAGGGGACATAGAATGCTTTTACGTAGCCTGGTACATGTCTGGATTCCCCTGAATGATTTGCCTTGCAAGGCGTTATAAAGTAGTTTCCCCGGCCAGCCTGAGAATGGCCACAGTCAGCTGGCGTACAAGTGATAATATGATAAATGCGATTAAACCGCCGATATTTACTATATGGTGGTAGCCACCTTGAACACTGCTTGAAACTGAACGAAGAGAAACAGGAAGTTGGGAAACAGTTTCTTACAAGTCAGGAAGAAAATAAACCTTCGCATCCAGACGATTGGGGTAACATTAAGCCAATCGCTAATAAAATTCGACTTCATTCGTCGTTTTTGCGATTTTATACCTCATTACACAAAGAACATGGAACACTTCCCCTGGTATATTGAAAGCGAAATCGCCATTCAACTGTAAGACCGTCGCTGATTAGCTCCTAAAGTATGACGACCGTCCCCATACTGTTATATAGATTCACCCAGAGAGGGCGTGACCACAAGACGGCACCAGCGAGATTCGAAAGCCAACCGTTTCGTCAAAACCGAAGCAGTTAGCCAATTCGCTAGCGAGTTGGCAAATTGGCTGCCCAATACTTCTGAGACTTGCAGTAAAATTGAAAAAGACTCAACACTGACCATTATTGTTTATAAACTGGCTCGAGCACGGATTTTCATATATATGATAATTTGCGCACATCACCAAGTCTGTTTGGATTGGTGGATTGTAGGTGTGATAAAACAAATCACTGTTTTTCCCGCTTAGTTTACAGCAATTCTGTGTTGTGAAACAGGACCCATTAAAGATGGTGAGATGTTGAATATGCAAAGAGAACTGAATAATTCTTTAAAAAACTATCTGAAGAAAACTGCAACTAAAGTTGACATTACAGGTATCATTGAGGTAAATGCCACTGTTACAAGTTTAGCTTTGATCAATAATTTTTAATTAAGAGCATATTCTGACATAATTGTTTTGTGGGCGTGTGAAACATTTTTATTACGATATGCACGTAATAGATAAGTAATTATTAAAACTTGTTACTAGAGTAAATTGGGTTGCATCGTTGTTTAAGTGGGACACTGTTCAATGTTTGGTAATTACAAATAATTATCTATAAATAAACTATTAGTATATCAAGGTTGTATGACTTAAGTTTGGTTATCACACTTAAAGCGGGGGGATTCGTCACCTGCGCATGCGTCTAATGGCTATAGCGTGTAATTGTTTACAAACAAACGTCTACTCATGAACAGTTGCACAGCCTAATATTGATACATGTACTGGGAGTAATTCCGAAATCAGTTGAACAACTATCTGATCGTAGACATATGTCATATAGTATATAACAACAATACACTGACGTCAGTGGGTGAAATTAAAAAAATACATTAAACAAATGTATGCAGATTCAACCTTAGATCATTGGTTAGATAACCATGAACCCAAATATGTAACAGAAGATGTAATTTCATAAAACTCAAAATTTACTGCATAGAGATGAGAAATGTCAAACAATCCACTGTAGTCTATCTGAATACATACAATAAATTAATTTGATTAGATATTAATATGTGATACTAAACAAGAAAGCAGTTAGTCTGTCAAAATGGATGTTACGATTGAGATTTTGCATTGTGATAGTTAATGCTTGTTATTGTTATTTGCTGTTAAACAACTTGTTACAAATGGTGTATTTTTTTCAGAAATCAACCAGAAGGCTTATTTATGAGATTCGTGAGGGGCACAGCAATGAAATGGTTCAACTGATTTACGGCCAATGCGAGGAAAAAGCTTTGCGGGGATACGTTGACAAATGCGCCCGGTTGTGTTGGCAACTCGAAGTTCAAACTCCCCCACTACATGTTGACTACAGTCAAACGACATTTGATAGTAATAAACATAAGTGTCCAAATGGACAACATTCACCTGATGCGGGTACTTCCCTGATGTACTTGTGGCCAACTCTTTCACAATCAGTGAGAAAAGGTGTAATGGTAAAAGCTGAAGTTGTTTGCGTTAAATCAAAAAGAACCCATCCTGGTAAGAGTACCCGCATATAAACTAAAAAAATAATTTTCTAATAGCTACATCTATCGAGCTAAGGTAAAATTACGACACCTGAGAAGGCTTAAGTCCATACACTTATGTGAGTCAGTAATGATAATATCCTTCTGTTGCAGTTGCATTCTCATGTTACTTTCTTGGGATCTATAATATAATTATTTTTTATTAATGGCTGAATTATCGATGAGAAAACGTTGCACCATTTAGTGCACGTCCAATCAATTATTTTTTTAGGTGTTTTTGGAAATGATTCATATTAGTAAACAGTAAATTGCTATTCATGGAACGTTGCAAATAATTAAGAATAGAATATTTCCAAGCATTTGTACCTGTGTGAATAATAAAAATCGGGAAAATGTGTAAAGGTGAACATTTAATGTTATAGTTTTCCGATATTGTTGTTCAAAACTACATGTTGTTGATTTAATGTGATTTGTCTTAAACGAAAGTGTTGCATTTGTATAATAAAGTTCGTATAATTTTGTGTTTTACTTTACTATTACAATACCTTTAATATCTAAAACTATATATTGGTATTCAGTTGTAATATATTATGGAATCTCATCACTATCTTTTCCCCCAGTAATGTATACGAATGTTTTGGTACTATTCAAAATATTAACTAAAATGTTATATAAATTAATCATGTTATTTTCTCATTTATTCACGCTGCGGTCCCAAAACACTTTCTTTGGTTGAATTTGAATGTTTATTGTCATTACATCCGTGACCTTTAAATATAGTACTTTATCATTCATTTCGTAATGTAATGTGTTTTCCATGTTTTGTTTTCGGGATGAAATTATAGTCAATGGTCAAAAGTTTATATGTAATCATAGTTGGTACCCTTGTATGGAATTATTTTTGTCAAATGTGGGATAACATAGAATAGATGTAAAATAGCGGGTGTATAATTAACTTCAAAATCGTATACTTTATTTAATGCGTAACGCATATTGCAAATTAGTAAATTACGGATGGGGGAGGTATGAGGTATGAGCAGTGTATCATATAGTTTATTCTATATCGTTCCCCGCACCTGGAACTAGCACACGCAATACATAATTGGCCAAACAATAACACAGCATCACAGTTTGTTCGAACTGACGCAATTATGTTTTAGTTTGTTTGCGCTTATGTAGTATTTATTTTTTCGCCATTATAAAATTGTTCTCGAAACATTGTGTTCATGTATTGATAATCTGAGTGAAGTTTTTTTTTTAAATTAGCAAGTTGAAGGTCATTCACTAATTTGTATGAACAATTGTTTTCACCGCAAAATTCCAAAATCACTACGACCCCATCACGTATTTTGTGTGGACACTGTGATTAGCATTTAATCCGTGACGCCAAGAGCATAGCTAAACGGACATAAGTAGTTGCTAAACCTGTTATCAAGCAAGCTATTTTGTTTGTAGTATAGCTCATTTTGTGTGGAAGAAATATATTATGTTAATAAATACGTAGAAATAGTATGTAAAAGTGTGTGATTCTAACACTAATGTTGTGTGTATATGGCCGCCGCCTCATACTTCAATGTAATGGCAATGACAACAAAATAATTGAAGATGACCAGGATGCTGATTTGAGGCAATTATAAAATGCTGACTCCAACCACACATTGAATTTTTATATTACCAATAAATTACAATAACAAATATTCGACGTGGTTAACATTTTGTTTACTTCAGACGCAGAAGTGCCATCAGCATTAGATGGAAATATTATCCGTCATTGAGCGTAAACGTTTTTCATTGCCATTTTAGACTTGCTCTCATTAAATTGTTACTACAAGCATAGATAATATGTAAAAACAAAACAAAAAAAACGCGTCGGTCAATACGGGAATGCCTGCCTTCTTGCAGAGTTTACTACATCACCTATCAGAAAGTCCGTGGAAATAATAAATTAATTTATTACACGTTAGGTTTAATTACAGATTACAGCCCCGAACGGAAACTATTGGGGAATATACCCGGGTCCACAAAGAACACCCTAGGGTAGCATTCCCTATAGAAAAAATCCTCGCCTAAGGGGTCACCCACAGGGCGATTACGCAATCGAGGCGTGACCGTTCCATTCTCTTCTCTTCTGTTCCCGCTAGCCAACGGTTGCATAATTTTTCAGCTCCAGTGTTTCTGAATAAGAAGACAGATGACAGTTTTCTGACTGAGCATATCAAGAAATTCTAGTGGTGGTGATCGACTTCGACAACAACATCATTACGGTAAAAGCGTTGCATTATTAGGGGGCATATTTTTTACCTGTTTTAGTTGAATCGCCAGCTCAGTTTATATTCGCCTTGATTGGCGAAGTGAATTTTACTCGTTTTTTCACGATCTCATTTCTTTTTTTTTCTAGACTGCATGATGACTAAGGGAATCACCAGTTAATCTGGCCTGGGGGGTGCCGGGCAATTCTAAGGGGGGGCCTTTCCATTTTCTGTATATGAAAAAAGGGGGCTAACAATTTTTCCAAGAGTGAAGGAGGGGGGTTTATAATTTTCTGGGTTTATTCACATATATTGTATAGACGACGGCTACTGTGATGAACATACTGCAATGAGAAAGAGTTATTGTTTTTAGTTTTATTGCACAACAATAACTTAATCAAATTAGTATAAAACATTAAATATGAAACTTCATTTGTAAACAGTATAAACCTCTGTGAATGGCATAAAAAAACTTGCTGCACTTTCCACTGTATGAAGAAAAACAAACCTTTTAAACAAGTTTGTGAAAAGCAAACACACTAATATAACACAAAATATAAAGATAAAATATATTTATATAGTGTAATATTTTGTATGTAAATAAATAAATCTCTATCCTCATCGCAAAGAATGTCAGTATCGAGCACTATCACCCAGGATCATTAGAACCACTTTCACAATCCTCATAACTCTTTCCACTGGAACTATCAGACAGGCACTCATATTTTAACTTCAGTTCTTCATACAGCTTTATCATCTCCTGCTTAGCTGCAGCACAGAAGACATTGCGATGAATGAGATATTGCAAATATACTGCATCCATCTTTGACAACTTCAAATTGGCTTCAGTTTGATCTGAGATTTCAAAATCTACTGAACCATGTATACCATCAGGGAAACATCTTTGTACAACCTCAGTGGATGTTATCCTTTGTAACAAAGCTGTAACTCCTCTTGCAAAACGATCTCGTTTTCGCTTCTTCACTTTTTTTCTGTTTTCTTTTCTCTACTTATTCTTCTTTTACTTACATCTGACAGTCCATGAAATACATTTCTTAACCAAGTTAGTGTTTTATCAAGATCTGCCATGAACTCAGTAGATTGACTGCAGTTCACTCACCATGCTGTCATTGTAAGCCATCTGTTCAGTAGCCCACTGTTTTAGGAGTCTTCCATAACTGGTAAATAAGTCAGAGTAACTTTCCCCAACCAGAGACAAACAGTGAGAGGTCGTACCACTTCTTAAGCGTGCATGAGACCCCATGTGTGAATAGTAATAGTGAAAGAAGACAGCCAGATGATTGGCAGCCGCGTTTCAACATCATGCAGAATTTTATCTTTGGAGAATACTGAGAGCATCAAAGAATTTTCCTCTAAGTATGCAGTGGAAGAGCAATATGTCATAGACTATTTACAACACCTTACCACACTAAAGCAAATGAAAACCATTAGGGAAAAAGGTAGAAAGAAACAACAAAAAAAGAAGAAGCAGGAAAAAAGTCATAGTGATTTATGACTGGATTTCC